CAGCTTCCTAACTTTTGTGGTTCCCGAGTTGAAAATTGCGGACAAGTTGCTGCGGACACACACACAGACACAAACACACACATAGACAACCCCGTGACAATACGCGTTTTGTACTGCTGTTACGCAGCACAAAACGCATAAAAACAGTAAAGCTAGGAAGCTGAAATTTTAGGAGAATGTTCCCTACCCATGCGCTGTTACGAAAATTCAAATTTAACTTGCACATACATCCAGGTGTCGCCTGTTATCAGCTGAAAATTTTAACGCGAAAGTCATTAACTTGAAAGCCAGAAAATTAGAAAGCTGAATTTTGGAAGAATTTCTCCCATGCATGTGCGATTCAGAGCTTTCAAATTTGACTTTCACGTGCACTTACACTTCATGTTCCTTTCTCTAGATGATTTCCACGGCTTAGGAAGTGAACAATATATTGGCTATTTTTGCACACACCAAAGTATAAAACAGTGAAAATTCTTAACAGCAAGCGCCCGCTGAGCGGAACTGAGCGGAATGCATGTTTGCACTGGCTATCCTGGCATGCGTCATTATTTATTAAAAAATTTCTCTCATTTTATAATTTTTCAGCCTTTTCCTACTTATGCCATAGCAGTCCCTTTTCGTTCTTTCACATTTAATTTAAAATTTAATTACCAGCGCCGAACGACTACAATTTTATTCAGTTTTGTAGGCTGTAACTGGTAATGTTAAAGATGGCTGTAGTTACGTGGATTGTATTTCAGCATCGAGCAGAACCGCCATCAATGAGAGAACCCGTTCGGAGCACGCCGAGAATCCACATCGCATTGCTGCATGTCTGTAGAGCAGCGCGTTGACATCGTAAGTTTTCTTTGTATTAATTGCATGTACTCTATGGGTTCTTCCTCGCCCTCTTGAAACACCGTGGAATGCTTGAGTCTCGTCCCGGAACCTACAGATCACATTTATTATAGTCCTAAACGATACAGAGATTGCAAACTATCCAAAACTATTCTTAGAAGAGTTGCTATTTTTTGTTAATCAGAGCTTCTCCATATTCATTTTGTGCAAGAGATGGACGTATTTGGTAACAGATGCCATCAGCATCCACAAATAGGCATGAATGATCTCGATAACTTTCTTGTTCAAAGATTATTTAAAAGTACATTGATGGGAATTCTCTAGTTTGTCTTGTGATCGAAACGAATGCTCAAGTGGTAGAGGGATTGGTTTTCTTGTGTGTCGAACCTCCGGCCTCCAGCACGAGGAAGGCTAATTGCTGGGCCCATCAACGCTTTTCCACCACTGACTGCTCTTATACTGGCTTAACAGTATCGATGTCCACGACTTTTTCACTGTGTCGTAGGCGTATACTTAATACTTATTTGAGATAAATGCAGAAACTAATCGGCACCATCTGCAACAAGCCTACTGAGATGAGGGCAAGGACAGACAGTTTTTAACTTATCGGCTGAGGTTGTACTCTTTTGAAGCTAGTGAATTTCGTCAGGCCAAAATTGGGGATCACTTTTTTGATCGGTTCGGGGAAAAGGGGGGGGGGGAAGGGGGGAGAGATTAATAATTGTTAGCTACCGGGCGAAAAACTGGTAGCAAGAGATTGGAGGAGATGCGAATAATTCCTCGGTCGAACTCGAGAATAGTTAGGTCTTCAATGTTGGGATACTTCGTGCAGTTATTCCGGACGTTTCCGCTACAGTCGTAGAACTTTTCAGACTGTTTTAAGCTATTTATGAACACCGAATAATTCTTGTCTTCTGATCATCCTGACTGAGTTACGCATAAAAACTTCTGCCTGAGCGAAAAAACTCCACCAACTGTAGTTGCTTCCATTGTGGGAATCAGCGAATTTCAAGTTATATATGGTTTGCACCGCACACCCAGGGTCTGCACTTTAACTAAGTATAAACGTCGCCGTGCTACCCACACTGATGTCCCTCTTGGATGATTAGTAGCTCGAACTCCCTGTCGATGTAGATATGAGTCACGACACGTATAAGTATAAAGTGTGTTAAAAAACTGAATAAGCATGTTCTGGCCCATCAAGTCGTAGGCATTCCTATTCAGCAAGTGCTGTGCACTCTTCTTGATTTCACCACTGGAATTACCGAAAAAGAGGCAAGACAGAAAGTTGAAACATTGCAGGGATATTTTTCAAATTAAGCTATCACGCACACGTGCAGGAGTTAACTCGGAAACTAGCAGGAAAACAGTAGCTAAAATTTTGCCAGAGCATTTTAGCATCGTATGTCTAAACTGAGTTTCAGTCTGCACTTGCGCCGCGACTTAGGACACTTTAAAGATATTTGTAGCGAAGTGGCTATTTCGCTTACCAGGCGAAGTGTGAACCAACTTAACTCCGACATTTCAAAATTTTATTGCCTTCGTCCCATTTCATCCAAATAAAGGATTTTCTTCCAAAAACACCCTCGTTTGTATTTGCTAATGAGAGACTTCCATAAAGCGTGTGAACTAATTCCGCATCGGTATTCAGAAAGTATTAAAGAAACAAATCGATATGCTGGAAGCATGGTTAGTTCTCGAGCTCTAGTCAGCTTGTACTTCTACCAGCTTGTGCTGTTCACTTCAAACTGTTTTGCTTCTCGCCGAATGAAACATTAGAAATTGCAGAGTATAATAATTCCGGTAAGAAATGGTAGTTCATACGTTGCAGAATGCTTGGATTCAATCCTACATCAAGTTGGCACCACAGATCTCGTCCTTGAGGTTTGTTGCTTTGCATACACATACTGGTTTTAGAGGAAACGTAAGGAATATTTGATATAACGTGCTGGATTATAAAGCATATTCTAAAATAATGAATAGAGGTCAGCATTAGGGGACCTCGAGTCGAACATTTTTGTATTCTGTACGGGCGCTAAATTTATGTGTACTATCCAAATTCGGATTTGAAGCATGTCTTCGAATTTGTTCCTCATTTGCATGACATGGAGTCATGGCTTTAAAAAAAGCCAAGGACTGAGATCCTTAAACTTCAGCCTTATAAGCTTGTCTTGTCATTAAAGGTGGAGGTAGGTAGCAAACTTGGTCATCCAAATTTTGAAAAAACTTAAAAATTAAAGAATTTGATGTCGAAAAATTGGTTCTTTTTTGTTCCTCTAACCAAAATTCGTATATGAAATTAAAGAATCAGAAAATGACGGGCATTTTGGTAATCTGGTCACGTCGTTTTACCGTGGAAGACGATCGACCATGGCTAAATTAGCCTTTTTTTAAGCGAAATCCAAAATACATGCGATGCTTTTGTTCAGGTGTCCGTATATGATGATGGGAGCACGGACGATACTCGACATATTGTAACACGGTATAAGTCAAAATTCCTCAAGAAAGGCATCGGCTTCATCTTTCAAGGAAGTAGTATTTCTCGAGGTTCCCTTTCCATTTTTTAGTGCTTCCAACGTTTTTAGTTATGTCTATTTAAAATAATTTTTGTGTTTTTATGCGTTTTTGCAACTGTGCAATACAGAAAACGCATATTGACTAAGGGTTGTCTGTGTGTGTGTCTGTGTGTACGTCTGTACCGATTTTTCATCTCGAGACCTACAAAAGCTACGGGGCTGAAATCTTGGAAACTTAGTTTACATGCATGTGTGGGCCCCCACCCCCAAAATGGGCGGTCTTATCCGCGTGATACCCACGTACGGGCTCGCCAAAGTTTTTTTGCGGGGAAGTTGTTAGCTCTGGAACCTGAGAAGCTAGAGTATTGGAATTTTAAGGGGATGCTTCCCATCCAGGTATGTGTTAGTGATCTCAAACCCGGACACCGGGTATCGTGGTACCCAAGTACGGGCCCGTGAAATTTTTTTCCGGGTAAGTTGCTAACTCGGGAACTTGAGAAGCTAGGAAGATGAAATTTTAAGGGAGTGTTTCCTGGCATTTCTGGCGGCCAGTCTTAATTTGTTTAGTTAAAAGTATTTGCCGGAAAAGCCGGTGCCAGTAGCGATAAAAACTGCGGGAAACTATGCAAAAAAACGCATCTTCGCACGGGCAGCCCGTGCGTTGGCTAATTTTTATAATGCTGGCACAGTGTAATACAAATAAATAGCAACGCATATCAGACTAGCCGGTGCGATCATGCGTTTTGTGCAATTTCACCCACCGAACGATTGTGCGTTAATGATTTTCACTACTTTGTACTTTAGTCTGTGCAAAAATAGTTGAAACGTTGAAAAATAGTTAAAACTTTCATGCACTGGCGCAAGAAAGCTGAATTTGAAAACTTGAAGGGTGAATATCCTTCCGTGATTCCCGAGATAATAATTTGCCGGTCAAAATTTTCATGGGGCTGTAAGTGATACCCAAAAGCGCGGGAACGCTGAATTTAAATGTGCAAGATCGTACGTGGGCAAGGTGTCATTACGTTAAAACTTCAGCTTCGTAAACTTTGTGGTTCCGAGATAATAATTTACCTGTCAAAAATTTTCACGTGGCATGTTACATGTTACTCGCGGGCAGGGGAAAGTTGAATTTAAATTTTCTGGTTAGCACATGGGCGGGGGACATGCCCACAAAATTTCAGCCTTCTAGCTTCCGTAGTTCCCGTGATAATAATTTTGCCCGCCCAAACTTTTACAGGGCCGTACATGTTATCTGCGGGTACGGAAAGGCTGAATTTAAATTTGCGGGGTCGCACGGAGGTGGGGAACGTTCCCCTAAATTTTCAGCTTCCTAGCTTTTGTGGTCCTCGAGTTGGAAGTTGCGGACAAGCTGCTGCGGACACACATACACACAAAAACACACACAGACAACCCCGTGACAGTATGCGTTCTGTACTGCTGTTACACAGCACAAAATGCATAAAAAATGAAGTTCACTAAATATAGTTCTTTTTTTCTGAACAAAAAGTAACATTCACATTAAACATTTTAGACTGAGGAACGTGATCAAGTAGAAATGATGGTTTTTAAACGGCGCCGACGAGTAAATTTTGCGCCGGAGTAAAACATAACGGGACCAAAGTGTACCACTTAGAAGTTTTTTTGAGGTGGACAACCAATTTATCTTTTGCGCTGTAAGCCAGATGAACGGTTTTCTTTTTCGGGGTTTTTTTTTTCGCGGGGAAAAGTGTTGATCAAATCAGCTAAGAAATTCCTTCTTCGGCTGTTTGCAATTCCAGAAGGGAAACTAAAAATGTTGCGATGCAGATGAAGAACTCAGATAATGTGAAGGTGCATTTTTTTTTAACTTTGTAATTTTTTTGTGCGTCCGCCACTGAAGGTTTTTTTTTTTAATGTAGCAGAAGCCGTCGCAGAGAAATTCCATTCTTCGTGGCATCCTTCTTGCATAGCACCGTGCTTTCTAGCTTTTTGCGCTTTCAGCGGTGTTGTGAATCAGCAAAGCTCTTCACATTTCACTTTCTATAAGGGGTAAAGGCATTTAAAGTAGCTCCTGGGTGGCAACTCACAATGCTATCAGCGACTCCGTTTTCGAAGATGTGGTTAAAAGCAAATTCAGGACAATATTAACTTCCAACATACACTGGTACCAATTAGCCGTCGAAACGAAAGAACGAATCGTAGAGATAGTACTGGTCGCCCTAGTGATGAAATCGAACCGTTGTTTTTCAGCCCAAAACTGGTGCTGCTGGTCATTACACGGGCATTCCCTGGATAACTTACTTAAATTACTTTAAGTGTTTGAAAAGTATCGAATTTTAACAATTTTCGCTTGTAACGCTTGCCCTGACCATTCGTATGTGAGTATAAGCTCCGTATGCGTGAATAAGCCGTCCTCACATTTAGACAAAACGATATTTAATAAAAAAAAAACAATGCAATCGGGAAGAAACGATATGGGCACCGAATTCAGTCAGCAAAAGCACCAAGTTACCGCCAGTCAATATACACAATGATAGAGGGCTGTTTTTTATCGCTTCTGTTCTCATTATTTTATATCACGAGAGGGAACTCGGGTCACAAAGACGCAACCTTTGCATGTCACATGGGGACGGAGGAAAAATTAGGACAAGAAGAAAGGGAACAGCCGCCAGCTTCACTGCTGTTTTGCAGCAGCAACAATATTTCTTCATATTAACCAGCTGTTTGTCAGTTGTACACATGCTTAGCGTATTTCCTTTTTACTGCGTTTTTTTTTTTCTAAATTTTAAACTTATCTTTGCATTTATGGACGATTTAAGAAAATTTTGACGATGATTTTATAGCGGTGCAGGAGTTGGTTACGCAAAAAATCGTTCTGTACAGCAATGCACCGGCTCAGTTCTGGTATTCTGCGATGCGGACGATATTTGCATGGAGCATCGCATCATTTCACTGTGGAATGCTCTGCGCACTACGCCAAAACCAGAATTGACCCTTGTTGGTTCAAAATTCGAACGCATCCCGGCCGGATCCACATCACGTTACACGCACTGGGCAAACACACTCAGCAATAGTCAGCTTTATAATCAGGTTATTCAGATTTCTGCACTACGTAAACGCGTTCTAATTTCGTATAAAAATGAATAGTGCTGTGCTAACTTTTCGCTGAGAACGAGGAGGGGTGAGTATGGCGCTTTCCCTCCAAAACAGTGCTTTCCCACATTGCGCCTGATTCCTTAATTGTTATTTTTTTCTTGTGATGAATGTTTACTTATTTCTTTAATGGAATTTTAATGCCCAGCGTGCTTTTTCGGCTGCATCATACAGCGATAGAGCTAAATTTCGTGCTACTCTGGCTGACTAGTTCACCAGCTGAACTAAATTTTCCATGTTCCTCTTTGGATTTCGTCCCTATTAGCTCATTTTTTTCGAATTTTCCTTCTTTCGCGAATGATTTGGGCGCTTCCGTTAAAGTAGAAGGAGGCATCCACTCTCTCCTGTTTGTTTGTTTACATGTGAAAACATATGTTAGTTTTACACGCGGACGAAAAATGCTGTACTCCTTAATAATTATTTGTTTGGCTCGTGTCTCATTTACGCAATAAGAAATACATTTATTTTTAGTGAAAGTCATGTTTGATAGTTTTCGAAGAGTAATTTTTATGGTGCGGAATGCTTGGTGCTCCTTTTTTTATAAACAGTTCAAGAAATAGTTTTTCATGCCAGACAGATACGAGCAGTCTGTTACGAGGTTTTTACGAATTTTCAGATTTTCACCTCACATGGACCTACACTCATTGCTCCTACCTGGTGCATGTCGAGGAAGCTCTACGACAGTGTCGGTGGTTTTTATGAGGCACAGTCAGTTGGCTTTCCCGAGGATTTACGGTTTTTCTACGAAGCTGTCAAATTGGGCGCGCACTTTGTCAAGGTCTTTTACTGTTCGCTTGTAATTTTCGTATAATGCATCTTTATGCGTTTCGTGCTGTGTAACAGCGTTACAAAACGCATATTGTCACGGGGTTGTCTGTGCGTCTGTGTGTCTCGCACTTTCAACTCGGAAACCACAAAAGCTAGGCGGCTGGAACTTTGGTATAGTGTCCCCCGCCAACGGTTGGCGCGGCAGATATAAATTCAGCCTTCCCTTACCCGCGGGTAAAAAGTACGGCCCCGCGAAAATTTTTTACGGGTGAATTAATATCTCAGGAACAACGATGAGTAGGAGGCTGAAATTTTAGGGTAATGACCCCCTGCCCACGCTCAACCTTGCCTATTCAAATTCAGC